AGATTTGATTACTTTTAGATGACTTTTGACCTAACTTGTTTACCACATTGATTTATATTGTGTAATCGTGTACTGATATAAAAATACAAAAAGAAAAAAAAAAATGTAAAAAGTTACAAATATATACAAAAAAAGAATCTCTGCATTACATACATTTTAATGTGTTTAAAAGATGAAAGCCTCGAAAGAAATAGGAATGCATGCTTAAATGATCATTCAAATACAAATTAATGTGTTTATCAGTAGTTGATGCAATGTTGACATTTCTTAAAAATGTAAATGATTTTTGTGAATCCAGCGGTCAAATGCTGTGGCCTCATTTTTTGTGTGTAATTATAGGCACCTGATTATAGTTACAGTATATTATATAATTATAATAGTGACTGGTCTTTGTGCGAATGTCCACAAAACTGTAAGAATGTATGCAAGCGATAGGCTATTTTAGAACGCTAAGTTCAAAAGATGAAAAAGAAGAATTGGGGACAGTCGATGAATTATGAATTCTTTTTTTGCTATTGTGTAAATAATCATGTAATCAATAAAAAATTTACTTGTCTGATTACGAGTATTTTAAAATGTAATTTAATCTAATTACAAGTACTTAATTTTTGGATTACGTCATCTAGATCAGTGAATCTCAACCTTTTGGCGTACCGGACCCCAGTCCAATTCAGAACCATCCTCAAGGACCCCCAGAACAAAATTGACTCGTATCATTTGCGTCTTTGTGAGGGCCAAATGCAGTCAAGTATAATTCAAGTTAGCTGACTTGTCCAGTATTTGGCCATATCATCAGCTATATTGGATTTTTCTTTCATGGGAACATGTCATGTCAAAATATACAACATTTATACAAAAATTTATACTTTATACGGACCCCCTGGCCTTATGTCAAGGACCACTAGGGGTCCACGGACCCCTGGTTGAGAAACACTGATCTAGATTACGTGATCTCACACACACAATTGTCCGTCAGTTTTGCACAGGCAAACATTTTCATATCATATTTTCTCCAGTAAATCTAGTCTGAGTTCAGGTTGTAATGTGATCATATTGTCTATCTGAGGAAGAATAAACAAGCAACGTCATTCCAGTAATTCACAGAGATCGAAATGATGAAATCTTTAGTTATGAATTAGGTTTTCTGAGCAGCTTCCTGTCTCTCTCACTGTCTGTCAGTCAGCGATGCTTGTTGAATATTTCTATTGTTTTATAGATTCACAGCAAACTGAATTTCGGCCCATAAACAGTAAATCTTAGCACATCTCTGATTCTTATACTATAAATGTCACTAAATAAAGCAGCTGAATGCCAGTTGACCTGTTGACAGTTTGGTGTGTTAACAGCAGAAAGAACTGTGTAAACACAAGTTTTTCAGTGTAGAGAAGCTGTTAACAATTCACATTTCCTCCCCGCTCTAGCATATGCTGCCTTCAAGTCATATCGCAATTATTTTTTTATGAGATGAGCGCATATGAACACCGCTATGTTGTAATTACCAGCGGGAAACTGTGTTTTTTTCTTTGAGCTCAGACCCAGATAACAAAAGAACGTTTCGCTAACGTTCACATTAAGTTATAAAAACATGTTCTGTTTTTTAAAATGTTTTATACATTTTTTGGTTACATGAACATTAAGGCAATGTTCCATTTTATGATTTTGCAAACATTATGAGAATGTTACATTTGAATGTTATCTGGATGTTTTGAAACATTTAAAAATGAACGTTTGGTGAATGTCCAACTAAAGCATAACTAAAAATAAAACGTTTCATGAACGATGTATAAGTAATTATTTTTAGAACATTAAGGCCAGATAACTCTGAATGAACATTCTATTAATGTTACTGGAAGAACGTTTGTTCATAACTTTGAGAGAACCTTTCCAGAACATTCTGACAACGTTCCGAGTTGGAGGTGTGTCTAAATTGAATAATGGTGGACGCGGGTTTGTGCAGTAAAGCAATATAGTGAATGTTGACTCTGTTTTCTTACCCTTATTCCTCTAAAGATCTCTAGGTTCATCTTTTATCCGGTTTCTTTAGATCATCTTCTTGTTTGCTGCATTCTAACAGGTTCTGATAAGCTCCGCCCCCTGATCACTAAAAACAAACCCCCAGAACTCAACAAATCCGGGTTTGGGTCTGAGTCAGAGTAGCTGGATCAAGCATGAAGCTTTTCCTCTCAAAGCCAGACTCAGCGCGGATAAAACCCTGTCAATCACAGTGCATATGAAAACATGCCTTCCTACAGAGAGGTTTCAGACGAGCATCTGTGAGATTTACACTGTATATGACAGCATTATGTGAGGAACAGGCCCAAATTTTGATGGCACTTTTTGGCTGACCGTCTTTCACTTTCATTCTATGAAAAAAAAAATAACTCTTATGTTCCACAGAAGAAAATCACACAGGTTTCGTGTGACATGAAGGTGAGTAGATGATAACAGTATTTGGCTGTCTGGGTGCACCGTCCCTTTAAGGGCCAATGCGTCAGGCTTACACTAATCTGTCAACTGCAAATGACGAGTACAGCTTTCTTCTGTGTGTGTGTGTGTGTGTGTGTGTGTGTGTATGTGTGTGTGCGTTTCACTCTGATGGATCACGTTGTCACTCTCTCTCTCCTGCTTTTACACTGATCAATGAGCTAATGGAGTGTTAGAGCGGGATAACAGCTTTACCTCAGTGCTTTACACACACACACACACGGCCGACCCCCCTCAGGTCTTCATTCTGTAGGGGTTTGTAAGAAAGCACAAGTCATTTGTCTTGTGACACTAGTGGACTTCCTTTAGGGTCTGTGGAGGTTAAATTTGTAGATATTCATGATATCTGTCTAGTAGGATTGGAAAAAATTCACATTGAGTCACATGAGCTGAAATTAAATCAGAACGACTGGAAAATGAATTTACTGAAGGAATTAAAGTGTCACGCAAAAGAGGAATGCCATTAGTCCATCACAACAATAAAAATGGGCAAAAACAGATTGGGTATTATGAGATCTGTCCTTTACATTTATGAATTTTGCAGATGCCTTTATCCAAAGAGACTTACAGTAGTTTCAAGCTGTATATTTGATCAGTTTGTCCATTACCTGCTTCATTTAATAGGAAATGGAAGTGTTCTGTAAAATGAAAGTTAATTCAATTTTAAATTAAATGTAGAAATATTTAATTAAATATAATTTATTTTCTAATTTAATTAATAAATATATTAGTATTACTATTAAATTAATAATATTTTATTAGTAGTAGTATTTATATGAATATTTTATAGTAATTATGAATTAATTATACATAGAACCCCTTAGCAATCCCATAGTAATAATATAAAATTTATATATATATATATATATATAT